CTATTATGTCTCAGCATCTACTCCAAATAAATCAAAGATATAAAGATTTTTTTAAAAATGAAACCATAATAGTACTAGAAGGAAACACGGCAAGTTCCTGTAGAACCCTGGAGTATGGAGGGCCTTTCTTTTGTATCCGGAATCCATTTTTTAAAAAAAAGTTTATAGTATCCTACCACCTAATTTTTGTAAATCTTATACATACCCACACAAGGTAAGAAAAATCAAAAGACAACAAGGTGGGCGTAAATATTTGCAAGTCCTATTACAGAGAGCTAACCCTTCCTCGACAGGAAAAGAGCTCCCGGAAATGATTAAGGAAAAAGAGCCAACAAGACGATCTTTATTTAGATGCGAGAGGAGACACAGAGGGAGCTCAGAGAAAAGGAAAGGCAAAGTGGCTCCTTAGACGAATGGAATGATGTTCAGTCTCACTTTAATAAGAAGAACGCAGATGAAAACCACCATCAGGGGCGCCAGGCTGGCTCAGTCAGTTAGGCGACCGACTCTTGGTTTCGGCTGAGATCGTGATCTCAGGGTCCTGCGATGGAGCCCTCAGTACAGGGTCTGCTTGAAAGATTCTTTCCCTCTGCCCCTCCCCTCACTCATGAGCACTCTTTCATATAAATGCGTAAATAAATAAACCTTTAAAAAAGAAAACTGCTGTGAAATATCCATGCGGTGAGGCTGTGGGGAACGAGCATCCCTCCTCAATGACCAGGAGCTGTGTATATGGTACAACCTATTTCAGAGTATCTGGAAAGCCCTGTAAATATCACAAACACACTTACTTTTGACCCAACCATCCTACTTACAGGAATTTATCCTACAGACATACCTGCACATGCAGGAAATGTCCTTGGGGGTGGGGAGGGGGAGGTGTTGTTGGTAGTAGCAAAAGATTGGACGCAACCCAAGGGTCCATCAATAGGAAACTAGTTAAATAAATTTATAGTGTATCCATAAATAGGACACTATAAAGCTGTAAATATGAATGAAGACACTATTTAGGCACTGATTTGAAAGATCTCCAAGATATACAATAAAGCGAAGAGAACCAAGTCCAAACCCGTTTGTGTAGAACGCTGACTTTTGTCAGGCTTGCCGCGAGGCATCCCACCATCCACATCCAATGTGCATTTCTCCTTCCTTAAGCAAGACTGAGGATCCTTCCAATCTTTCATGAGCCATTTACAATTCCTTTTCTGTAAAGGGGGGAAGAAAAAGAAAAAACTACACACACACACACACACACACACACACACACACACACATACACAGAAGCACCATAAAAATGCCCAAGAAACTACCCTCAGTGTTCACTTGGGTTGGGTTGATGGGAGCAGGGGTAGAAGACAAGCTTTTCACAGTTTTGATTCTTGAACCAAGAAAATGAATTATCCATTCAAATGTAAACGCAAACTAAATGAAGTCTTTCCCTACCAATTCTTCAGGCTCCCGCTAAGCCTCTCGTGTTTCCATCCATCAAGTACTTTTCCCACCTCTACATTTGACTTTGGAGGATGGGGCAAGGTCAAGGGTGAATGGGCAGCTGGGGGTGCCCCACAAGACCCATCAGGATCGCCCCATGTGAATGGACTCCTGCTTGTTTGTAAAAGATGAAGTCAGCGGCGGGGCTATTTTTGCCACAAGAGGAACACGTGCCTGCTTTGGGAAGAAACGGGCCATCGAGTCAGGGCATCTAGGCAGAGCAACTGTGACCACGGACGGCACATTCTGGCCGCCAGCCCGGGCAAGAGAAGGCTCCCGACCCCAGAATGTTTCTGCTCCAGACTCCTGTGCTGCAGCTGGACCCCAACTGACCCTACTTCTCTGCGGGGTTTAGAGCTTTACCCGGATTACAGATGCGCAACTGCTCTCAGGTTTGGTTCAGTAACCTGCATTTCTCTTAGAGCACCCCGGATGGCAGCCTGTCATCCCCCCACCCCCACAGCTCTAAATATTTCCCAGCCTAAGGGACCCAGGACCACAGCTTTGTTTTACCTTCCTCTGCGGAAGGGCAAGACCTGGCCGATTCTATGCAGGACAAGCCGGCGCATCTGACGCATGTGGAGGGAAAAAAGCAAACCGGCGTCTCCAAAGCGGCTGGTCCCCGCGGGCCTGGGCACTGGCAGCTCCCCCTTGGCTTCCTCTGATTCTGTGAGCTCAGAGGACAGCACGCTGGAAGTCAGCAGAGCAGCTGCCCTGGGAAAGAATGTGCTCATTCCCCGCGTTGGGACGTCAAGGGCAAGGGCTGAGGGGTGTGCGGGTGCCGGGAGAGGGGGAGATACCAGTTTCTCCAGTTCCCACCAGTCTGAACGCGGTCCGCGTGAACAAGCTGGTTTGGCTCGGGGAGGCCCCCGTCCCCGAGCTTTGACAGCGGGCTGGAGAGAACGCATTCGTTCTGTCGCTAAGGCAGAAGACAGATGTATCCCCCGCCTGGTGCCGTGAGGGCCGAGTGAGGGTCTTGGCCCAAAGGGGGCAGGAGACATGGCCACTGGCCACCCAGGAGGGGTCCTGAGGATAGAGGGCTTGAGGCTGGGCTGCCGTCTGCCTGGGCATCAAGCAGAGCCACGGCCCTCTGGCCCCTCCACGGCCCTCCACCGCCCGCGGCACCCCTCCATGTCCAGAGGGCCCGCCGGTTTCTGCGAGGCCACTTCGACTCCCTAATTAAAAACTGCAGAGGAAGGAGGACTTCCTCTGCAGGAAGGGGGCCTGGTTCACAAGCTCAGTGACAGAAAGGGGATGCCGGGTTCCCTGGGGCCTGTGACTCATCCACCCTTCAGAGAGGATAGGGAACGGCGCTGTGTTTTCCCTGCTCTCCGCCAAAGTGCTAAGGAACCAGGGACCGTCAGTCAAAGCAACGGGCCACTGCTGTCCGGCGTAGCCAGGCCACACACCAAGAGGCCCTGGACAGGTCAGCCGAGGGCAGGACCTTTCTCCCGCCAGCCCAGGGACGTTCCACGCAAGGAAGCACAGGACTGAGTGCTCCAAAGGACTTGTCAGAGTGTGGCCCACCAGCCAGGGAGGGCCTCACCCTCTGATCCTCATCTGAGCCATCTGGCTGGGACTAGGTGACTCCAGGGACTGGCGGTTCATCCCCTCCCCAAGGACCGTGGTGTGTCTCAGCATCTATGACACCCTTCTTTATGATACAGGTCTCACAGAGGCCCTCCCACCCGTGGCAAACCTTAGCTCCTGAGAGGGCACAAGAGGGCCCATGGATGATTTCCAGACTATGACACGCCTGGGGCCTCCCCATCAGAGACAGCATCCTCAGCGCTCTCCCGGCCCCCCCTCACTTGTCACCAGCCCCCCATTCACCCCACAGCTGCTCCCATTTTCCCACGCCCCTCTGAAAGTGGGAGCCCCATGGTGCCATCCTCTCCCCAGGGTTCTCTGAGCAGGGCAGAGGCTGTGAGAGTGTGGCCCCTCAGTCCCCCATTGGCTGGATATGTGCCAAGCCCTGGGCTCTCCAAGCTCTTCAAGCCAGATTTCTAGCATCAGAGGTCTCTGCCGACCCCTGGACAGAACACATCAGCCCCAGCTTCTCTGGCTTAAAACTCGGAATTCTTGGTCCCTCATAGTGCCTGTGAGACCAGGTCTTTGTGTGTCTCGAGTGGCTTCCTGCAGCTTCTGGAATCACAGGAGGAAGTGAAGCTTTGCGGGGAGGAGAAGGCGTGGAGGGTTCTGGAAGCCTGCCAGCTAACGTGCATCCTCCTGCCAAGCTGCCGGCTGACTTCACCACACCTTCCACGTCTGTCCCCAGTCCCAGGGCCCTCAGGACGAAGTCGTCCGGCTCCCACACTGCACCAGTGTGCAATGAGCTCTGGAGCCTGGACTCCTACGGTGATCCAAACAGCAGGAACACAAGGGACCAAACGTCCCCCAGCAGCCTGAGACAGCAGACAGGCCGGGATGTTGGAAGGAGACACTGGAAGATGGAACGTGTACCTGAGTCCAGACTGACTCGTAAAGCCCTGCGTGCCTGCCACAGACAGATGAGTTCTCCATCGCCGTGTAACAAAGGAGCCCAAACTTAGCATCTTAAAACAGCGAAGCCATTTCTTAGCTACAGTTTCTGTGGGGTCAGGAACCCAGGAGCGACTCAGATGGATGCTTCTGCTTAAGGGTCTCTCTCCTGAGATTGTCACTAAAATGTCAGCAGAGGTGACAGCCCCCTGAATGCTTGACCAGGATGGGAGCATCCGCCTCTAAGATGGCCCCACTGTCACATGTTGGCAAGTCACTGCCAGCAGGAGACCTTGGTCCTTACTACAGGGACCCGTCTGTGGATCTGTCCACAGGCATCCTCTTGAGACAGCTGGCTTCCCAGAGGGACTTAGCTAAGAGAACCAGGCAGAGGAAGCCTCAGTATCTTGTAGGACCTAGCTTCAGAGGTCACACTTGGGCATTCCCATAATCTTCTGTGGGCCACACAGGTCAGCCCCGTTCAGTGTGGGAAGGTGCGACCACCAGCAAGAGGCGGGACTCTGGGGGGGTCTCAGCAGACCGGCCAGAATGGTCTGACTGACAGCCAGCATTTGCATCACCCAAGGCCTCTGCACATCTCTACTCCCACATCCCTTTGGGTTTGTTTCTGTAAGAGCACACGGGGGATCAAGCACATGTCAAGGGACACCCAAGCCTGCTCTGCAGGGGGTGGACGGATTCCAACTCCCCCCAGAATAAAGGGGCATGTGCTCGGCCCTGCCACAGAGCCACCTCCGCCACAAAGACAGGGCAGAGGCCGCATCCCGCCCGCCCTCACTCTGCCCTCCACCGAGGGCCTGCGGAAGCACATGAGCGTCATACGACAGTAGCCAACTGTCCGGGGAGAGGGACAATTTGGGGTGCAATGCTGCTGAGTGCTCTCACATGTGTTGTCTCTCCACACAGCCCCTGGACTTGGTCTTAAATTCTTGCAGCACGGGGGACATTGGAAGAAATGGCACAAGCGAAACTCGGGGCCGTGGTTCTGAAAAGAAAGCTAGAATTACCTGTGTTCAGTGTAAGCTGGTACTCTCGGGGGAGCGGGCTGCCCCCTCTTCCCATCGGGGGGCACGCGGCCGTGGAGCAGATGACGTCAACACTAGGAAGACAGAGAAAGAGACCTCGGTGTGGACACGGCGAATCTCAAGGTCCTTCCCCAGCACAGCAGAGGCCCAGACGGCAGAGCAGAGGCCTCCGAGGGACAGCTGTCGTGCGAATTCTCTGCCGCCAAGGAAAGTTCTCCTGGGACATTTACCCTCCAGCGAAAGGGGGGGCCTGGGTTCTAGAAGTTTCAGTGGGCCTTCAAGCCAGAGCCTGCTCTTAGTGGGGGACACTGCCAGTCACAGAACACAGACCCCTCCACGGCCGGGGAGACACAGCTTGCCATGGCCACTGTCCAAACTGGTATCAGATCCAGAAACAGCCGCAGAACGCCGATCTAGAGCTGCCTCGGTTTCTCTCTCTGCAGAGAAGAAAAAAGGTGAACAACAGCGTTTTCAAGCCCGAGAGGCCAGTGGCCCTGGGACCAGCAGGCTATCCCAGGGCGAATTCGGCCACACCAGCGCTGTTACACATCTCAAGGAACCACACAAAATGGTCCACACCACTCACACCAAAAATTTTTACTTTACTCCCCCTAAATTTGAAACTAGTGTGCTGTGATGGGAAGAGTTTTGAGCCAAGAGTGCGAAGGTCTGGTTCGGTCCCACTTCGGCTGCTGACTGGCTCTGTGACCTCAGTCAAGTCTCTGAGCCTCGGATTTCTTGACTATACAGACAGGACGGTGCCAGCCAGCTCACATGTCCGCATTTGCATAAGTTGCTGCAATCTATATTTTTTATGTCATCTTAGTTATTCTTGTCACCCTGGGCTCTGAGGAGGGCGGGGGTTCCTGGCCCACACACGATGCAGGCCCGGGCAGCGCCATCTTGAGCCCGTGCGGGGGGCCCTCAGCCCTGGGAGCCCGGCCGAGCACAGGAATGGCTCATGCGTTGAGGGGGCGGAAAGGGACCCCAGGCACCATCAGTGCAAATGCCCCCCCACCCTGCCCTGCCTCGATCGCGGATGTGGAATCCAGGGCCAGACTGCTCCAACCTGCGTGACCAACAGCCGAGCCTCTCTTTACCACCGTGTCCTGATCTCCGGGTTCCGGAAGGCAGCCTAGTGAGCCAAAGAACAGGGTGCCAGCACTGCCAGGTGTGTGGGTACTTCCCCTGGAGGAAGACAATAGCTTCTCATTTCTGGCACTTTGTATTAATTCTTAAGCCTAAATCTCACGGCTGGCTCGCCGACACCCTGGGGCCTTCCTTCCTGCTGGCGCCTGTCTGCCTGCCCGGCTCACCGGGGCTGCACCTGCACCAGCTGCCCGCGGGCTGATCTGGCCCTTCTCCCCACTCTCGGCCTCCCTGCTGCATCAGACAGCAGGCCTCACCCCCAGCGCCCCCAGGGCAGGCCCCACTAGATCCCCCTCTGGCCGCTGTCCTCTGCCCACTCCGCTCCTCCTCTGTCAGCTTCGGACCCATGAAATGTTCCCTATTCCGGTCCTCCATCGTCTGTGCCCTCCAAAAGCTGAGACGCTCCCGCCCCGTCTCTGCGGACAACTCCCCGATCAGGGGACCAGGCCTGACATGGCTCCCCAGCAGCCCCGTCTCCTGGGGTCCGAACTCCAGCACACTCTCCCCTCCAAACCTCCAAACCAGCTCGTCCCACACCAGCGAGGACACTTTCCTGTGCATCACCTCCCCCAGCACCTCAAAGTCATCTTACACCCCTCTGCCCCCCCACCCCACATCTAATCACTACGAGCTCCTGCAGGGGCGCCTTTCCTAATGGCTCTCATAATTACTTCTTTCTTACTTCCCACCTTCACGAGGAGCCTCCAGAAATACTCCTTTCCTGCCACCTTCCTGTCATCCCGACACTCTCCCTGCGCTGGTGTATCCTTCAGGGGAGCCCAGCATTCAAGGCCTGGACAACGACCACAACCCGCGTTTCCGCGCTTACCTACCCTTCCTTGAACTCCCCACCTTCGCCCGACTACCTGGTCAATTGTGATTTCGAACCTGATTTATAAGTGACCGCTTCTTGTATTCCTTTGCCTCAAGAACTAATAACAGGAGCCCACGTTTCCATGGCAAGTCCATGTTTCAGGCACTGCTCTAACCACTTTCCACACACCACATTGTGGAATCCTCACACCAACACTAGGAAGCACAGAGAGGTTAAGTAAGTTGCCCGAGGCCACCCAGCCAGCGAGTGGTGGAGTCAGCGTTCAACTCTGTGCCATCTCTGGCTCCAGGGCCACAGAACCAGGAGACCCACACCGACAAACACACCTGCCTGCGCAGAGGGGTTCCCTTACAGTTCAGTATTTTAGCATTAACCAAGACTGGCACGGTGTTAATGTGGATTTTAAAGTGTAATTCCTGGAGGAAAGAAAGTTTTCCCACTGACCTTCAGGCCCAGGAGAGGATGATGAAATGGTAAGTCATCTGGCCATTAAAATTAAGTCCAATCACCCCTAATGGAATGTCACCTCCAAGATAGCCATTAACGCCACCCGCCTTGCACACGGTCGGGGGGGTCTGCATATATCACCATTACCTTGTCTAACCATTAGCCATTTGTCCGAGCGGGGAGACCTGAGGAGACACTGAGGGACACTGGGACCCACTCAGCACCCGGCGGCGAGGAGCCTACTGCTTAGTCCGTGCGACGGAGGCTGGTAGGGACAGCCGGGAGACGCGGGCCTGACCCACACGCGGATTTCTCGCCTTCAAGGGGAAATTAGGCTCTGGGAATTCGCAGGCACAATGAGAGAAGCTGGTCATTTTTATCCCATTTTGCAGAGGAGACCAACAAGATTCGGGGAGGTGAAGGGACGGGGTAGAAGTAATTGGGGTGCGGGGAGAGGGCTGGAGAGGGCCGTCGGCCTCAGTGCACCCTGCGGGTCCTCGGGTACCTGTGCAGGCGGCGTTTCTGTGATGTCTATACTCAGCCCCGTAAAGCAGACAGCATGATGCCCATTGCGAGAAGGGAAACCGAGGGCCTGGCCTCTTCCCATGAGTGCACAGTGCCCTTGGCGTGCCACATTGCCACAGCAGCCAGTCCCTCTCCCCATGGAACCCCCTGCACCTGCCACAGCTGGAACGACCCACCACCCCAGTGCCAGCCCCCTCGGCTGTGGACCCGAAGTCCCGTCCTGGGGTCCAGCCCTGCCCTCGTGGGCTCCCCCTTGGCTTTGCTGGTCTTCGGAGGCCTCCCCCGCTCCGCTGGGTTCTCTTTGTCCCCTCAGCACGTGGCTCCACAAATCCCCCGACATGCCCAGCGCCATCCACTTCCCTGCATGGACCCACTCCCTCGGCACAGCCCGGCCGGCCCCCAGCGCCTCATCTGCCTGCCCCATGGGTCGTGCCTGGCGCTTTCAGCTGAGCCACACTCTGGCTCTGGGTCTGACGTCCCTGGGCTGCGTGGGCACCTGCACGCCCCCAGCAGACGAGATGACACTCTCGCCACTATGCCCAGGCAAGTCAGCTTTGGATATGGGCCTTGTTTTGCACACTCTGGGCTAGGTTTTGACCTGCCTCTGCAGGTGGAGGCTTGCCCCTGCTTTGATTCCCCTGGAAGCACCTGCAGGAACCTGCGGCGTCACTGAATTCACAGACGGTTTTCAGCTTTTAATTTCTGGAACCTTCTTCTCCCGAACCGTGTACTTTTCCATGTCCGGCCTAGCAGAGGGATCTGGTGCAGCAGGGGCAGCCCATCTCCTCGGGGGCTCTGGGACCCCCCTTGTACCAGCGAGGGCTTCCCGGTCCCACCAGGCAGAAGTCCCATCCTGGTTGACCCACAGGTTCCCTAAATGTTCAGCTGGGGGCCCCTCTGCTGCCCTCGAAGATAGGCCAACACCCTGTCCTCTTCCCAGATAAGACAAGCCAAGGCAAGAGGCAACCTCGATTTCAAGCAAAGGTCCCTACGTGAGGAGTTAACCTTCATGAGGTGGTTATTGGTGCCAAGCACTGTTTTGAGGATTTTTAGCTGGGTTAACCCCTTGAACCTTTCCTGTGAGGAAGGTACCATTACTTCCCCATTCACGACGAGGAAAGCTGAGGAAAAGGAGCTAAGTAACTTGCCCAGAGTGAGTAATTTGCTGGAGGCTGTGTTCAAACCCAGTCCGTCTGACCTGAGAGCTCGGTCTTGGGCATCAGCTCTCATGCGTGAAATGTAATCATGGTGCTGAGGGAAGAGGAGACTTTGGGGTCAGAATGCTAATTTTGCTCCTTATTCTGTGACACTGGCAAGTTATTTAACCTGTCAGAATTTTGGTTCCCTCACAGGTGAAAACTGGGCTAATAACCACTGTGTGACTGTATCAGGTAGGGTTCGTTAACGAAAATTAAACAGAACAGCTTTTGGAAGTGTCTAGAATAGTGTCTGATGTGTGGTGGGTGTGGGTCACTGTTAGTTCCCTTACTTCCTCTCAGAAAGTCTTCAAAGTGCTTGCTGCCATGGTGATCACCTCAGGGCCAAGTACCTCAGGGTCAAGGGGTTTTTTAACAGCTCATTGAACTGTTCTAGAAGAACACTTCTAAGTTTCCAGCGATTTTTTTTTTTTAAATCGTCTGACAAGAAAAAGAGAAGAAAAATATTGGTTTTCCCTAAGATTGGGTCTAGATTAACTGCATTTCCTATCATTTCACATATATATATAAAACACGATGGTTCTCATATAATATATAAACTACCAAATAACCCTGTTTGGTCAGTGGTCTGGTGTTTCTAGCTTGTCAGGAAGCCAACATAAAACAGTCTGTGTCTGCTTCAGGAAGAGAAACTTTCTCTGAGATAAGGCTTGCTGCCCTTGGTGTCCAGTCCTGAGGACCACGGGGGTGTTGTGAACAGGCCGTAGGTGATTCCGCTCACATGTAGACCAGGCCTGATGGCTCCTTCTGGAATGCAGCAACTCTGTGCTCCCTATACTGGGCTGGGATCTTCTCTGACTGGTACAAATGAGACTTTTAGAGTTACTTCATGGAGGAATGAGTGTCACATGGGCATAGAGTAAAGTCGGGACGCTGACCTGCTTCTCAGAGAATCTGTGGACATAATTCTAATTCTCTTTCTCCCCTTGGACAAATCTTTTAACCTCCCAAGGCCCATTTTTTTAAAATCATGTGAGAAGTTTAAATGACATTACAAATGTCTCTGAAAATACAGGGTAAAAAAAAAAATACCGAGTAAATACAATTTCCCTTTCCATATGTTATTCTGTATCCTTGGGCTATGTCTGCAATGTTCTTCCCTCTTCACCTTCTCCCCGCAAATTCCTATGCATCCTTCAAGGCTCAGTTGAGAAGCTGCCTCCTCCAGGAAGCCCTCCGGTACTCCAGCAGTCCAACATGGCTGTCCTTCTGTCATCCACAATATCCAACCTTCCTTCTTCTATGGCACTAAGGGTGTATTTCATTAAACAGTGAACTCCTAGCTGGTAAAACGGGCCTCGGCCCCCTATGGATTCCCAGAACCCAGGCAGGCAAGGCCTGGCAGGTGGTAGACTTGCCAAAGAAAAAAAACAAAACAAACAAAAAACCCCAG